TCGTACGGCGTCTCGAAGGGGGATGTGAGGTAGGAGTCGACATCGAAGGACGAGGGGGAGTCGTTGAAAAGAGGGGATGGGGCATCGTCGAACAGAGGCGACGTTGCATCAAAGCTGTCGCCGAGGTTCTGGAACTCGGGCGAAGCTGTGAAGTAGTCAGTGACGGTGAATCGACGCGACAAGGGCAGAGCATTACCTAGCAGGTCGTGGATGGCCTGCATGGGGTCGGCGCTAGGCACGACCTTGGCCGTGTCCGCGCCGGTGGGTTCGGGATCGGTTGGTTTTTGTGATAGCATGGTCAAGTAGTTTTTGCAGATGGAGTCAAAGTTGTACAATGAGGCTGAAGATTGTGTTGGAGCTGGTTGTTGTTTGAGACTGGGACGAGGTGGTGGAGGAAGACTCTGGGGAATGCCATAATGGGCGGCTAAATCATGGGTGGAGGCGAAAACTGGAGCTGTCCGAAGACGAGAGCTATTGGTGTTTATCGGGCCATGGGGGGCGCGAGAAGAGCTTGAAAGCGAACTTTCAAGAGGGACTGTTGGGAAGCCATTTGAGCGAGGGGCCGGAGACGGGGTGTTCAGCACTGGGCGAACATCTTGACTATGGGTAATGTGGTGGGTGTTGTGAGATGGGCCGGGAATGTCGACGGGGAGGCTGTTATCCGATGTTAGCGGGTTTTGACCAAATGCATCGGAATCGTCGAATTCATCGAAGGTCGCAGGCGAAGCTTGCCACGATAAACCGCGAAGAGAAAAAGACGACGAGAGTGTCCACGTCAGGTCTTGGGTATTCATAATGGGTATTGGTGCGATGCGATGTATACACTCGCTGCCACGACAAGCCAACGTAGCACCAATACCACGGTGGAGAAGAAACAAGAAAAGCACTCACGGATGCCGCCGTTGGTTTTGGACGACTGTGCAACTGCGGAACTGCGTTCAGTCGTAGATGGTGGTGGTTGTGGACAAGAGAGAAAAGCGCTGACAAACAACTGCGGCTAGATGACTCGAATCGATTAACTATCCCCATTCGGCATCAATTAATAATGGAGCGGAGAAACATTTGTTCCCCGAGAGGATAAACGTCGGTGAAATGAAGGTGATAAATTGGATAAAAATTCACTACAGAATCCGCAACGAAAAAATCAAGCCACGCCCTGGGACGCAGCTCCCTTGTTCTTCACATCCAGCGCAATGTTAGTTGTCAATTTCGTTCTGCGGATATTCGGATAAACACAGGGAGGAAAAAAGAACAGGCAGAACGTACTGTTCCGCTGTGATCTGCGATTGGATACTGGTCGTAGATTTGCCGGCGGCTTGCGCTTGAGCCAATTGAATTTTCAACCCTTGCACTTCGCCAGTGAGTTTGAGAACCTTGTTCTTGATCTTGCCAACTTGGAGCGCGTCGGCGGCTGCGCCCGAAGCAGCGTCAATCTCGGGGTCAAACTGGTCGGTCTCGGCGGATTCAGCAGCCTCGCGCATCGTCTGGAGGTTGCTCTACCAATTCACCGTCAGCGACATTTATAAATACGAGGCAATAACGCACAAGGGATGTCGCATCGACGGTGCTGAGGTCCGTGGGGAAGCCCGTGACGAAAACAGCGTTGGCTTCCGCCTCGGCGTTTCCACCCTCACCGTCAGAGATCTGGAACTGGGAGTAGCTACGAAAAATCATCAATCAAGTTGTTCAAGGCTGTTAAAAACCAGCCTACTCAAGCAAAGCAAACGAGAACGCCGCGCCGGTGGATGCAACATCCTCGGCGGCTGCGGTGTCTTTGTCGGTGGCGGCAGCCTCCGTGGAGGTCGCAGCAGCAGCCTGTGTGGTGGTCGCGGCAGCAGCAGTCGAGCCTCCGGTAACGCCCTGGGACGTCAAGCCCTTGTTCTTGACGTCCAAAGCGATGTTCGTGGTCAACTTTGTCCTACGGGTAACACATGAACACAACGTGAGATGAAAACAAGGAACAAGACGTACTGCTCCGTGGTCAACGAATCCTCCAAGTCCGAGGTATCAGAACCCGCGGCTTGAGCAATCGCAATTTTGATCTTGATTTGCTGGACTTCGCCAGTAAGCTTGAGGACCTTGTTCTTAATCTTGCCGACTTGGAGCGCGTCGGCGGCTGCGCCCGACGCAGCGTCAATCTCGGGGTCGAACTGGTCGGTCTCGGCGCTCTCAGCAGCCTCGCGCATCGTCCCAAGGTTGTCCTAGGAAAGGGTGTTCAACTAACGCGCGAATGAGGCAGGCAGGCAAAGCACGTACAAGTGATGTCGCATCGACGGTGCTCAGGTCCGATGGGAAGCCATTGACGAAAACAGCGTTGGCTTCCGCCTCGGCAGTTCCACCCACACCGTCGGAGATTTGGAATTGATCATAGCTACAATTGGAGTTCAAAGGGGCACACAGTATGCAGGATGAAACAGACCTTTGCAAGGCGAAGGAGAAGGCGCGCTTCGCAGGAACGGGCGCCGCGAAAGATGTAAGAGCCGGTGCAAGCAGGGCAAAGAGTAGAGCAAAACGGGCCATTGTTAGGATGGAATTCGGCTCGCGAGAGAGAGTGAATATAAAGCAAGGGAACCAAGGACGATTGGGATAGACCGCAGAAAAGAAAGTGAATTCGCCTTCAAGACGAGTGGGAGAAAGACGAGTTGGTGAAAAAAACGTGCAACCTGGGAAAGGCGGATTGCGTATGCGGCCTTTATATACCCTCGGATTCAATACCGTAACTCGTAACGACGCCTGGGCCTGGCAAAGCGTGGCAACAATCAAAGGAAAATCTTGGCAGAACGATTTGGAGGGAAAACGGCTGAAAACGGTCCAGGAACGCTTCAGGACGACGGTTGATTATGGTAAATCGATGTAGGTAGCAGCAGTGTGGCTGAAGGACCCTCAAGCTACTTGTAAGTCGTGAGGGTCAAACCTCATGTGTCCTGCCTAGCCGACGCATCTAGATCAGAAGGCGACTCGGATGCTCTCAGATGATTTCTCCAACTCACAACGTTAATGATTGTACCTCACTGGAAAGGGCAGCTCCCGCATCGTCCTCCTCGACGTCGTCTTCCTCGGATTCTGGCTCTCGCCGATGATTCGGATTTTCCACGAGCAAGTCCTCCATCTCCCCTGGAGCTTCGGCCCGAATGAGATGAATGTCAACGGACGTTATCTGACGCACCTAAATCCTTGGCTCTCCTGCTCTCCTCCCAGCTCTTCTCCAGCTCGTCCATAATGGCCGCTTGCGCTGCCTCCACGTCCTCTGCGCTCTCGCATTTTGAATAACGCGCAAAGAACGAGTCATTGACGCGCCAAAAGGCCTCGCCCCACCCGAAACCCGCTAGGAGCCTCTCTCCGTAGGCACGGAAACCGGTGATGCAGAACGCCGCAGCAAGGGCCTCGACGCAGTTGAGTCGCCATGGTTTGCCGTAGTTGGTTGGGTTTGCGGCGATGAGGTACGGGAGGAGCCGTTCGTGTGGGCTCGCGATCTTGGCGAACGGGACGTCATCAAGGCGTGCCCATGAGCACTCGACAACTGCGAGGCCATTTGCGAGCACGATGGACCGGTCAGCGGGAGAGATTGGGCGCGTTCCTTTCGGCCTGGATGTGAGCCAAGTGAGTGGTGGGAGATGAGCAAGAGGTTGCTCACGAGAGGACCACCCCACGGAACCGCGCTCCGACTTTGAGTTCGGTAATTAGCCCCAGGCGCGACAGCTTCTTTCCTGAGCAGCGTTTGGGGTCGCAGTGGTCGAAATCCTGGTGTAGAGTTGGTACTTTTGAGAGAGAGAAATGAATATATACGCACCCACATCGCGACGGGAACGTCGATTGTGATTTGCTCCTCATCGTCTTCTGAACCATTTGAGCCGTCTTCTTCATCGCTGACGACGTCCACGGCGCTGTCGGGTCGACCATCAAATCGCACCCTTTCCCGTCCTCTTCCTCGATTGGCATTTCCGCCGCGACCGCGTTTTCCTCTTGAGCTGGACGGCGCCGAACCTTTCTTGCCCATTGTGTGTCAAGTCAGAAAGTAGATCAACAAGCAACAACTCGATGCACCCGACCGCAACCCTCGCTGCCCACATCCGCTACCAAGCAAGGCGCGCCCTCCAGTCCTTCCGCGCCAACAAGGACTTTTACAAGGGTACATTTCCGCTCTTTTCTTTACACTTCTGGCCATCAACTATTGTCAGGCAATAGACAAGCTGCTCTTCCTGGTCATCGAACGGGTGCCCCGGGTGTGCACGTCCGTGGCCGACCGGGATACCGTCTTCTCGAATCGCGTGTCCGTGTCTTTGTCGCCCCGCCCATTGATGACATCCTCAACTCCAAGGTGCGTAACAAAAACACGAATTCCATTCGGTTTTCCTAATGCATGTCTAGCTAAAACCATACGTCTCCCCTCGCGTGCGTCTCCCCCACAACGTTGCAAACGGCGTGTTCCGCGGCATGCCCGACAGCGGGCTCACCCCTGCACACTTGCTCGCTACCACACGACGCCTCTCTGAAGAAAAGGCACTGGAGCAGAGGGACGCCGTCAGCGCTGCAAATTCTGCTTCCCCGACCACCGATTCTTCAGAGGCACAATCACCTTCATGAAAAAGTAACCAGTCTTGTATCATATAGTTTGCACATAATCCAATAATGACGGTCTGAAAACTTGGCTTCTGTCTCTACATGTATGCCTTGGGTTCTGACGATGAATGATAATTTTTTGAACGTATGTGCCAGTGAGTTTTGGCCGAAAGATCCTGTCGGTGACTGTGTCCAAATATTAAGGGAGCCACTACGCTTCGTTCCAAATCGGGAAGGTACAATTGATGGCAGCGAAAAAATCCCTCCCTGCGTTCCCCTGCCTTTCCTCCATCTATTGGCGGTTCCACAAAGGTTCTGGGGTTCAATCCCACGGATCCAGCAAGGTAGAAACCTGAAACAATTCCGGAGATATCTGATGCGACGGCAAAAAGATGATTCCACCTGAAAATCTCGCCAATCTTTCAAACGGGGGGAAAAACTGATTCGACCCGGACTTGAACCGAGGACCGCCTGTGCACACAAGACTGTGCTTGTTAGACAGAAGTGATGGACCAACTACACCACCGAACCGTTGGAACTTTGGGGAGATTCGTTTTCGGGGCCCTGGGAGGTAATTTCGATCTAGAAAGCTGCGTAGCAAGTTGGGATGGGCAGAAGCCTCTCGGATAATCGTTGCTTGCTCGGGAAAGTAGTAGAGGAGTCGAGTCGAGGCACCCTTTTGAATATGATCTTGCAATCGGTCACCACACAGATCTTAAAGTCATGAGAATAGCATTGATACATTCACTGGGAGGGTATACCGAACAAAAAGGAAACTCATGCCATCGCAGACTCATTCTTCATCAACTCTCCCCACAGATTGTCCATCTCATACAGGGTCGAGATATGTTTCCCAGGCACCCACTTCAACGCCGAATTCCTGTAATTCTCCTTCAACCATTCCGCCATATACGGCCCCAGATCGTCGTCCTTGGACGCCGCTATAAGCATCGGCCTCTCCTTGGTATGCGCCTCGTCCAGCAGATTAGGGCAGAATCCCCAGTCCGAGTGCAGGACGTCCGCGACCTCGATGAAGCCCGACCACGTCTTTTCGATGCTCTTCAGCATGTTTTTGGCCATCTGCCGCTCAAAGGCACCTTCAGGGATCCCTCCGCTCTCTCTCCAGCGAGCGAAAGCCGCCTGCTCCTCTTCCGGGCCGGAGAACAACAACTGGCGAAGGAATACCTCGGCCTTCTCCACTGTATTGAACTTCTGCGAGAGCCCGAAGACCGCAGCCCGTTGTAGAAAGTTGAACGGAATCCATCGTGATGGTGGGCCGACGGAGAGGTAATTCGACATGGTCATGGACCGCGTATAGTCCTTGTGGTATCTGAAAGGCGAGAACGGCGCAGCCAGGAGGCAACCCGCAATGTTGCGCCCAAGAGGAAAAATGTCGAACGAAGCTCCGTAAAGCATCTGCGCGGGAATCGTCCCGTACGAGCCACCAGCGACGTAGATGCGCAGCTTGGGGTCATTGGGATGAAGGTGCTGGATCAGCTCCGTCATATCCGACGCGAGAACGGTCGTATACGACTCGGATGTAGGTCGAGGCGAAGAGTATCCCCATCCCGCGAGTGTAGGCGTTATATGATGCACCTTCTTCTCGAGGAACACGGGAGACTCGCGGATGGGCGCAGCTCCGACTCCAAAGACGCCGTGAAAGAATATGATGAGGAGAGAGCTGGATTTGTCGCCTGCCTCCTCGTATGCCAGCGTTCGCCCATCTTTGAGAGTGAGATACTGTTCAGTTTGGGTGGCCATCTTGGGTGGTGTAATGGTGCGCGCACCCTCCTTTATTCGAGAGACAGAGCTGCGGCGCGGTGGCAGCAGCACCTGTCACTGTCAGGGGTGAGTGATGCTGAATTCAATGCGCAGCGGCACTTGACGCAAGGCTGGCTCAAAGCGAGAGTCGACTACAGAGAGAGGCTGCCGACTTTTCGATGCACATTGGATGAATTCGATAGGGAGCACCAGGATTCAAGAACGCCAGTTGTAGAAGACTCGGAATGTCATTGAGCAATCAGATTGCTGCGTGGTGGCTGCGGAAGAGTACAATTTTGATTGATTTGATTCGGAAGTCTCTGGATTACAGTACTGTACACATTATTATATCTGTCTCGTAAATTCTGGGGAACTTGTATTGTGTATGCCCTCCTCTCCCTCTTTCGAACTATCAACAGTGGCTGCGCTCGAGGGCCAAGTCCGTATGTCGATATTGATAAACGAATGTGCTCGACTCCGAGGGTTGCGGGAAGTCGCTTGAGGTCGTAGAGCTCGTAGTCCTCGCAGGAAGGACTGTGCTTGGTGAGCAACAGTTCACAAAGAGAGTACGAAGACGTACGGGGTCAGTCACTGCTAGCAGGACGTACATTAGTGGCCGAAGAATGTAGACGAGCAGATCTGAGAACAAGGGTCAGAGTTTGAGAGAGTAAATTTCGCCTGCAACGCACCGACAGCGCCCAGTCTCCAACTCTACAATTGACATTAATGGCAAGCAATGCGGAGAGGAGCGCAGGACTCACCGTCGTGTTTGGATTTCTAATCACGTATATATCGAGAATACACCCTGTGATGTTGAAGAAGCAGGAAAAGATGGGATAAAGCCCTGTTCCGCGACGTTAATATAGCTCATAGAAAGGAAGTACCAATCGCACCAATTCTCAGAATGATCTTGCGGTAAAGAACGATAGGCGGCTTCGGCAGGGGCTGTACGGAGGACATTGTGCCAATGGTTTCCGAGATTCCAGACGTAGTCCGTTGACAAAACATCTGCGAGGTCGGTCAGAATCGTTCGGCGATCATTCAAGCACTGACCATGTACCACACGATTGTGCCGAACGAGATAACTTCGCAAAACGCCATGAAGATTAGCCAAAAGCCCTGGCTGCCGATAAACCATTGGAGTTGGGTCGAGGGATTAGGACTATTAAACCAGCAAGTCGTATTGCCTTCCCAGAAACTTGGATACCGTGAATACTGCGACTAGAAGCACATGAAAAGAACGCACCCGAATGCACCAGCAGTGTATGCTGGGATATTACACGCTGCAGCCATAAAGAAGCCTGCAAGGACGTAGTAACGCTCCATCTTCCTGCCGTTCATAGCGTGGACTAAAACCAGTCTGGATAGCTCAGAATAGCGCAGAAGAACGAGTTGGTCCGCACGCACTGTAGATTCAAGGCCATACAGAAGAACATGGCGCCTCCAAAGATCATACATATCTGACGATGAAAGATCAGTGGTGGTGGATGGAGCCCAAGCTATCGGCACGTACCCCGCCTAGAAATGCACTGAGGTTACACTGCCAGCCAGCAGGATCTCGAGTGGCGCCGATCATTATGGCTGCATAGCTCAGACTAGCAAAAATGGGTCAGGAATACGAACATAGGCAGCAAGAACATACTAGGACATCAGAGCATATACCAAGAGCCGGAAGCTGACGCGATTGAGATGCGGACGCGACACGGGGTTCCAGGCAAGGTACGCAAATGCTCCAAGCGTTAAGCTAATGGACACGATTCCAGCAACACCGAATCCAAGGACCAGATCACTACGGGGGGTCAGATATTCCAATGAGGGCCAAGAAAAGCCGCGAACTGACTTGACGTGGGCATTGAAGCTGCCGGGACTGGTCATTCGAGGGGATGTGGGTGTTGCGGAAGAGACATCCGCTGATATGATGTACAATCGAAAGACGGAACCGGCGACTCCTGGGGCGGCGGCTGTTCCATGTTCAGGGAGGCGATCTTCATCAAGCTGGCTATTCACCTGCACCAACTAGAATGCAGTTTTTGGGACACGGAAGTGAGAGAAAGAAAAGAGATAGGTCTGCCGACTCTCGCAACTCTAGCCTCAACGATCAACCCTCTAAGCGAACTTCATCTGTTGCGGGTTGCATGCAACGCATGGAATTTGAAAATCTGGCCCGGATCTAGCACTTGACTGGAGAACCTCTGCTTGAGTCTATACCAAAATGGTAGCGTTAGGCGTGTCCGACGCCTATTGCACGTGACAAAGCCTATCCATCAATGCTCGGCAATCATCCCTGGCTGCCTGAAATTTCACAAGTCCCTCCCCCAATTTTTTTTACACCATCCCTTGGGTCCTAACTTTAACCAACCTAACCTTTAACCACCCAACCTATCCTAACCGAACCCAACCGAACCCAACCTAACCCGTTTCTAACCGCCACTCACTGCTGAATCCGAGTCTTGGCATTTAATGCCGAGCATTGATGGATAGGCGTATGCAACGATCACGGCAATCTGGCCTAATCAATAGGCGCCATCAACGCCTAACGCTACCATTTTGGTCGTGCCTCCCTCTGCTTTTGAGAAAGGATACAGAGAGTCTGCATCAGTGGATGTGAGAGTTGGGAAGCCGCGGCGCTCCGAGTCGGGATTTAGATCACCGTCACGTGACAGATGTCTAGGTGCGTTGCAACTTGCCACCATCCGACCCCCGCCCACCGAGCGCGTCTTCTTTTCGCAAAACGGGAACATCAAGTGTGTTTGACTTTGGCCTCTGTTCGAATGCGTTTTGCTATACCGGGACTATGATCTGGCACAAATCTGGCATTGAGCAACCACCGCGTGCCCATCCCTTTCAGCGTCAAGCCAAACTCGAAGGATCTCTCTCGTTGACGAACTCACTGACATCAGTATTTTGCTTGTCCGAAACCCGTTCATGGGCGGCACGGCGCGGTTCCATTCAAGCTCAAGGGGCAAGATGATCTTTTTTTTTGTCTTTTTTATTTTATTCCGATGCCACGCTGCAAGGAATTCAATCAACCGCGACACGGGGCACCGCTGAACGGATAGATTTGTGCATTCCATTGATTTATTACGCTCTAGAAACTGGGTCTTGATATTCGTCGACAACGGAGTCCTTTTCCTTGATATCATGATGCTGAATGGTCAGCGTACACCGGCCGAATTATGTTCTCACTCAAAGCTCCCGATCCAAACGCACCTCCATTTCTATCCGTGATATCCAAGCTGCTGTAACGACAATGTCGAGCAGCTCCATTACTTCCTGAATGATGACACCACACTGGAACAAGTCTCCCGGTATGAACAAAAAGATCCCGTATTAGTATATGCTGATACATCTTCTAGTTACGAGCCAGGCCTCTGCATTCCCGAAAATCGAGTCCGCTGATTATAGTTTGTCTGCCGCTCCAGATCTCTTCCCGGAGAACTGCGATTGGGCCCTCATAGTCGGATATTCACTCGAATAAATTTCATTCTACAACAGACTCCTACCCATACGTTTGATGCGTCTCCCGTCTCAAGTGCCACAGGTACACACTGGCAACCGCAGCATGATCGCGTTCCACAACGAGGTGTACTAGCAGGAGACGGTGATCCCGTTGCGCCGAACCTGAAAGCTGTGCGTGTCCCGTCCTCACTGGGCGCGGACACTGGATGCATGACAATCCTTCAAAATGGGCATTCAAACGGACAAACCCTTAATAAGTCCGAATCCGCTTGCAGACTGTGCACCACGGCACCGATGGCATTTATGAATCC